CGCTGGCTGGGAAAGAGGTGGAGGGCTCTGTGCTCTGTGGGGGAGAAGTGGCTGTTTTAGATGTGGCAGATTCAAATGTGGTGGACTCTGAAGAAGTAGTTAAGTATTCTGTTGGGATTGGAACTTGAGTACTGGTTTCTAAAGTACTAGTAATAATTATAGAGCTCATAGGGAAAGAGGTGGAGGGCTCTGTGCTCTCTGGGGGAGAAGTGGCTGTCCCTGCTGCTCTGGATTCAAACGTGGTGGTTTCCTGAGAAGTAGTTATGTGTTCTGCGGTCACTGGAAGTTGAGTAATAATTATGGAGCTCATTGGGAAAGAGGTGGAGGGCTCTGTGCTGTCTGGGGGAAAAGGGACTGTTGCTGCTGTTGTGGATTCAAACGTGGTGGTTTCTGGAGAAATAGTTGAGTGTTCTGTAGTCATTTGGAGTTGAGTAGTGGTTTCTGAAGTACTAGTACTAATTATGGAGCTCATTGACAAAGAGGTGGAGGGCTCGGTACTCTCTGGGGGAGAAGTGGCTCTTTCAGATGTGGCAGTTTCAAACGTGGTGGTCTCTGGTAAAGCTGTGGAGTATTCCATGCTCTTTGGAATAGAACTCATTGTTTCAATACTACTAGAAGTCATCGTGCTGCTGTTTTCTGAAGCTGTAGTATGTACCATGCTCTCTGGAAGAGACGAGGAGGTTTGCTCAGGGGTAGAAGGAAATCTTGAACTCTCTGTTGGAAATGTAGGAGGCCCTATGCTTTCGGACGCAGGAGAGGTGGTGTATGGGGAGCTTGATGCCATGATGGTGCTCTCTGAGAAAGATGTGGAAGAGAACGTACTCTCTGTTGTTGGTGTTGTGTTTTCTGAAGGAGTAGAGGTTATGCTGCTCCCTTCTGATGCCGTGGAAGGCACTGTTTCTGGGGGAGAAGTGGCTGTTTCAGATGTAGCAGAATCAAAAGTGGTGGTCTGTGGAGAAGGTGTTAAGTATTCTGTTGTAATTGGAAGTTGAGTAGTGGTTTGTGAAGTACTCATAGTAATTATGGAGGTCATAGGAAAGGAGGTGGAGGGCTCTGTTGTATCTGGGGGAGAAGCGGCTCTCGCTGCTGCTGTGGATTCAAACGTGTTTTCTTGAGAACTAGTTAAGTGTTCTGCAGTCATTGGAAGTTCAGTAGTGGTTTCTGAAATCCTAGCAGTAATTATGGAGGTCATTGGCAAAGAGGTGGAGGGTTCTGTGCTCTCTGGGGAAGAAGTCGCTCTTTCAGATGTGGCAGATTCAAACGTGGTGGTCTCTGGTAGAGCTGTGGAGTAAGCCGTGCTGTTTGGAACAGAACTCATGGTTTCAGTACTAGTAGCAGTCGTTATGCTGCTCTTTTCTGAAGCTATAGTAGGTACTATGCTCTCTGGAGGAGACGAGGTGGTTTCCTGGGAGGTAGAAGGAACTTTTGAACTCTCTGTTGGAAACTTTGAAGGCCCTGTGCTTTCGGAAGCAGGAGGGGTAGTGTGGGGGGGGCTTGATGCCATGATGATGCTCTCTGAGAAAGATGTGGAGGACACTGTACTCTCAGGAGTTGGTGTGATGGTTTCCGAAAGAGGAGAACTTATGCTGCTCCCTGCTGACACCGTGGAAGGCTCTGTGCTCTCTGTGGGAGAAGTGGCTGTCGTTGCCGTTGTGGATAGAAACGTGGTGGTTTCTGGAGAAGTAATTGAGTATTCTGTTGTAATTGGAAGTTGAGTAGTGGTTTGTGAAGTACTCATAGTAATTATGGAGCTCGCTAGCAAAGATGTGGAGGACATTGTATTCTCGGAAGTTGGTGTGATGCTTTCTGAAAGAATAGAACTTATGCTGCTCCCTGCTGACACCGTGGAAGGCACTGTGCTTTCTGGGGGATAAGTGGCTGTTTCAGATGTGGCAGATTGAAAGGTGGTGGTCTCTTGAGAAGTAGTTAAGTATTCTGTTGTAATTGGAATTTGAGTAGTGGTTTCTGAAGTACTAGTAGGAATTATGGGGCTTGCAGGGAAAGAGGTGGAGGGCTCTGTACTCTCTGGGGGAGAAGTGGCTGTTTCAGATGCAGATTCAAACGTGGCGGTCTCTGGTAAAGCTGTGGAGTACGCCGTGCTGTTTGGAATAGAATTCACGGTTTCAATACTACTAGAAGTCATCATGCTGCTCTTTTCTGAAGCTGTAGTATGTACCATGCTCTCTGGAGGAGACGAGGTTTGCTCAGGGGTAGAAGAAACTCTTGAACTCTCTGTTGGAAGTGTAAGAGGCCCTGTGCTTTCGGAAGCAGGAGGGGTGGCATGTGGGGAGCTTGATGCCATGATTGTGCTCTCTGAGAAAGATGTGGAAGAGAACATACTCTCTGTTGTTCGTGTTGTGTTTTCTGAAAGAGTAGAAGTTACGCTGCTCCCTTCTGACGCCGTGGAAGACACTGTTTCTGGGGGAGAAGTCGCTTTTTCAGATGTGGAAGATTCAAACGTGGTGGTCTCTGGAGAAGTACTTAAGTATTCTGTTATAATGGGAGGTTGAGTAATGGTTTCTGAAGTGGCTGTCCCCGCTGTTGTAGATTCAAACATGGTGGTTCCTGGAGAAGTAGTTAATTGTTCAGTAGTCATTGGAAGTTGAGTAGTGGTTTCTGAAGTAGTAGTAGTAATTATGGAGCTTGCTGGCAAAGAGGTGGCGGACACTGTACTCTCAGGAGTTGGTGTGATGGTTTCCGAAATAGTAGAACTTATGCTGCTCCCTGCTGACGCCGTGGAAGGCTCTGTGCTCTCTGGGGGAGAAGTGGCTATTTCAGATGTGGCAGATTCAAACGTGGTAGACTCTGAAGAAGTAGTTGAGTATTCTATTGTAATTGGAAATTGAGTAGTTGTTTCTGAAGTACTAGTAGTAATTATGGAGCTCGTTGGGAAAGAGGAGGAGGGCTCTGTGCTCTCTGAGGGAGAAATGGTGGTCGCTGCTGTTGGGGATAGAAACGTGGTGGTTTCTGGAGAAGTAGT